GAGTGAAACTCCGTCTCAAAAAAAAAAAAAAAAAAAAAAAAAAGACATTGTTGTGTGTATCATCCCTTTTATTTATTATTTATTTATTTTTTTTGAGATGGAGTCTTGCTCTTTTGCCTGGTTGGAGTCCAGTGGCACTATCTTGGCTCACTGCAACCTATGTCTCCCGGATTCAAGTGATTCCCCTGCCTCAGCCTCCTGAGTAGCTGGGACTACAGGCACATGCCACCATGCCTGGCTAATTTTTTGTGTTTTAGTAAAGACGGGCTTTCACCATGGCCAGGCTGGTCTCGATCTCTTGACCTCATGATCCGCTTGCCTCGGCCTCCCAAAGTGCTGGGATTACAGACATGAGCCACCGCACCTGGCCTGTATCATCCCTTTTAAACTTTACAATAGGCCTGTGAGGTAGGCACTGTTATTCCTGCCTTCACTGGGGGATATTGCCTAGTCATCCAGCTTGATAAGGGGTTTGGAAAGTATATTAGCAGCCTGTAACAACAAAATTAATATTCACTCAAAGAATTTTTTTCCCTTTACATGACTAAGGGTACACTAATTGTATCGTGGGGAAGGTATTTAAATAACTTTCTGTGGTTGATAGATTCTATGTAGGAAAATTTGGTTGACACCTCGGAACACCTACATTGCACAAAGGGAAGTGTGCCAATAAACTGAAATTCAGTTTTATTAGATGTTGTTCAACTTAAATTCTTCACCCAGCTCACCTTCATAAGGTACACTCCCATCCCTTTTTCCCATCTACTTCCCCTTCTCTATTGGCTGAGAAAGTATGCCTGCCTCATAAACACGTATGTCATAAAGAGAAATGTGCATGATCCAATTTTCTTATGGTTTATTGAATCGTGGTCTCCTGCCTGATAAAATTCTTATTCAGTAGAGATATTTGTTCCATCCCCAGGTGAGAATGATTGTCAGCAGAATTCTCCAGCAATATTTATCAGGCAAATTAGAGGTAGGTAGATGGGCTGAGAGGCCAAAGAAGACTCAGGGAGGATGCAGTATTTTTTAACAGAGTAGAGCACTGACTTGGGCACACGAGATCTGGATTTTTAGGAGCAGCTCTGCCAGCCATCAGCTGTATCATCTTGGGCAAGCCACTTAATCTCTCTGTACCTCAAGTTCCTCATTTTTATAACAACAGGGGTTGGACTAGAGGCTCTGTAACGTTCCTTTCAGCTTCGGGATTCCTAAGCTGTGCCTCAGTCAGAATCCTATCAAAGACCTATAAAGTGCTTGGGTTGGTTCCTTTGAAGATAAGAGCAAATGCTGCAGCCATCAGCAGTGTCAGACCTTCTAGATGGGGTTGTAAGAGGGATCTTTGTGTACAAAGTTTCTATCCCTCAGAAGCACTTATGAGTTAGTTGATTTATACTGCTTGGTAAGATGGATAGGGTAGAGAGTTAAGAGCAAGGGGAGAGAGTAGGACCTTAGTTTGAAAACTGTTTCTGCCACCTCCTGTCCCAGAATGCCCAAGGACAAATTATTTAACCTCTCTGAACATCATTGTCTGCCTCTGTAAGATGGTGGTGATAGAATCAACTTCATAGGCTTTTGAAGATTAAAGGCAATGATATTTATAAAGAACTTAGCCCAGTGCCTGGCAAAATGAAAGTGCTGAATCAATCATGTGTGCTACCACTATTGGTGTGCCTATTGATATTAACATAATTCTGCTGACACAGGCATGAAAATACTTCAGCATTTTTTCTTTTTTTTTTTTTTTGAGACAGAACCTCACTCTGTTGCACAGGCTGGAGTGCAGTGGAGTGATCTCAGTTCACTGCAGCCTCTACCTCCAAGGTTCAAGCGATTCTCTGGCCTCAGCCTCCAGAGTAGCTGGGATTACAGGCTTGTGCCACCATGCCCAGCTAATTTTTTTTTTTTTTTTTTTTAGGATGGAGTTTCACCATGTTGGTCAGGCTGGTCTTGAACTCCTGACCTCAGGTGATCTGCCCGCCTCGGCCTCCCAGAGTGCTGGGATTACAGGCGTGTGCCACCGTGCCTGGCCTTAATTTTTGTATTTTTAGTAGAGATGGTGTTTCACCGTATTTGCCAGGCTGGTATTGAACTCCTGACCTCTAGTGATCCACCTGCCTTGGCCTCCCAAAGTGCTAGGCATAAGCCACTGCACCCGGCCAGCATTTTTTCTTAGATACAGCTTTCTCTTTCTTTCTGGCTTTAAATTGCTCTAGAGTCAGAAATATCGGGATTGAATTCCCTGCTCTACTTTTTTTTTCCTTCTCTCCTCCAAATTTTAAAATTCAATTTAATTTATAAATCGATATATAATAGATGTACACATTTTGTTGGTACATAAGATAATTTAATACATTCATATAATTTATGAAGATCAAATCAGTGTAATTGGGATATCCATCACCTTAAATATTTGTCTTTATGCTAGAACATTTGGGTTATTCTCTTCTAGCTAGTTTGAAATATACAATAGATTATTATAAACTATAGTCACCCTACCAATCTATCATATTGTATATATGTTTCCATTAATCAACTTCTCTTCATTCCCGCACCGCCCCGCACTTTCCTGTCCTCTGGTAACTGCCAGTCTATTCTCTATCTTCATGAGATCTACTTTTTTAATCTCCCATATATGAGTGAGAACATCCTGCTCTGCTTTTTGTAGGCTGTGGGATCTTGGGCAAGTTTATTTGACTTTTCTGCCGCTTAGTTTCCTCATCCGTGAAATGCCATCAGGTATATACTTACCCCCAAGGGTTGTTGTGAATAACATAATAGATATAAAGAACTTAGCACTGGCCTGGCATCCAGAATCACTCAATAAATGGTGGCTGCATTGCTATGGTGAAAGTAATACAGATTGAGCATCCCTAATCTCAAAATCCAAAATCCAAAATCCTTGAAAACTAGAAATTTTTGGATTTAGGGATGCTTAACTAGTAAGTACATATAATGCAAATATTCTCAAATCAAAATAAATCTGAAATCTGAAATGCTTTCAGTCCCAAGCATTTCAGATAAGGGATACTCAACCTATAGTGGTAGTAATAGTAAATAACTACCACCACTACCACTACCACCCTTGGGATAGAGGGGTGAATGCATTCAAGTGCCTGTATTTTTTGCATAGCTAACCAAAATGTTAGTAGAGGCAGCAGTTGCTGTTCCTGGGAACGGCAAAGCAATTGTTCTGGGCTTCACAGTGGCTGGGGCTTTAAAACAAAGTTATTTATGGAGGTGTGACTGAAAATGATTCATTACAGCATAATTCTCAGCAAATAAATTCTATTTATTTTTGCCACTCCTTTTCTGCCCAAGAACCTTAAAGAAAAAATGTGTATTTCTAAGGCTCAATTTTGGTTGATCACCCCTGACTTATTGTCCACAAGCTTTGTCAGCAACGTCTGGGTACAAAGATGTAAAGTCCCTGTTCTTTTTACGAAGATGGTCTTCATTCTCAATGGATGCCATCTCACTTTTCTTGAGCCTCTCACTGAGTATAGGATTGATTTGATGGCTAGAATACAGATATACAGGAATAACAGGGGTTCTCAAGGATGAGTAGGTGGAGTTGTATGGGGAGTGTAGAGACATTATCAAATAGAAATTTAAAAACTGAGTAGTCGTGATAGTTCTGGAGATGAACCTGTTTGCTGAGGGAGGGATATCAGATGTTTCTTTTGATTTCCCACTGTTTTTAGTAGTCTGTTGAAAGTAAAAAGAGAAAAAGGCCAGTTATTGTAAGTGAAGCCAAGTGCCAGGTTTCCTGTGCTTCCCAGACCATTTCAGGCTAGGAGGGTATTGGCCAGTTTCCAACAGGGTATAGACTGCACTCCACCCATCCTCTCCCCTGGCCTCGTACTTTCTCTCACTGTTGCTCTCTCCCCTCTGCCCTTCATTTAAGGAGTACTAACTATAGGAACCAAAGGCTTCTTCACACGAATTTTCTAGTAACATCTCTTCTGTGTCCCAGGTATCCATTCTCATTTTTGCACTAAGTTCTGGGGTTATAGAAAGGAAAATGGATTTAAATTTTGGACAAAGATTTAGGGGTAGTTACTGATATCTAAAAAAACACTTCCTCTTCTACCACTGCCTTCCACTCTACTCTACTCTCATCCTCACCCCTTGTCCTCAGAGCAGTGTGTGTCTCCTCGTTAGTGGCCCACGCCAAGTCCAACACTGTCTATGTAGGTGTAACAACCCAAGGCTCCAAGGTAGCCAGGAGTATGAAAGGCCATGTCCCTTTCAGAGCTGAGGTGACATTATAATATTGATAGTTGACAATCTTGGAGACTGGGGTCCTAAGGAATACTGAGAAGGAGTGACCAGTAACTACAGCCTCTAAGCCCTCATAGCTTTTTAAAAAATGCCTTTTTTTGTATTAGGAGAAATGATATCTGCTTATTATAAAAAAAGAAAATTTCTAATAAAAATCCAAAAGTACAGCACCTAGGCCTTTTACATCTCACAATTACCTAGTATCTTTTGGTGATATCCCTCCAGATATCTCTATATCTGTATATGTATCATGCTATACATGCTGTACTCTAACTTGCTATTTTCCCTTACAAAAATGCCAGGTTGTGGGAAACTTTCCACGTCAGTAAATATAAGTCCACATTAGCCTTTTTAATGTATGCATAGTATTCCATGGTATAGATGCATCCTAATTTGTTTATCCATTCTCCATTATTGGACATATAGGCTGTTTCCCACTTTTAGTTACTGTACATAGTGCTGTGATTAAACATCCTTGAGCATCATTTTTGTGGTACTTGTGTAATTATCTTTGGAGACAGCTCAAGAATTGGGATTACTGGTTCATAGTGTGTTCATGTTTTTAAAGTACTTATATTTCCACCACTGGAATCATGAACTTTAAGATAACATCCTATAGCCATCTACAGATCTTGTGTCAGCCAGTGCTGGGGCATCATACTGGACTACCAGAAGATGGTATCCAAGCACTCTTCCTGTACTTCTATTTCTCTTCTAATCACCAACCATAGAGTGAGGAAAGAATTTCAGGCTCGAAATTGGAATACTATTGTAGAAATTGTTAGGGAAGGCCTATGTACATTTTCTTCTCTAACCACTGATCCAACATTACCTTAAAAAATATTGTCATCAACATATGGAGCTTCGTTTGTAGCAAAGCTCCATAGTATTCTGAGTTCTAGTTCTTCTAGAATGTTCAGCTTCTTTCATGGGTTCATCATGTAAAGCAAATGTTACTGACATATTCTTTTTAGGCCGTAATCTTGTACCTTCTTTCTGTACAGCAAGAAGATAGGGGGAAAAAGTCAGTTGGTGCCCATGTGTTGCAGGGACTGGCCACTGAGTATTAGCATTTAAAGAGCCATTTACCTGTAGGATTGACTTTAGAGGCTTAGCTTCTACTGAATATTGTTCTAGATGCTGCCTTTTCTTCTTTGGCATTTCACTTCTGGTGGAGAAGCTGGAAGAAGATGGAAAGGACAGCAGTAGTAGAAACAGACACACTCTAAGCTTATTTATCTATGGAGCTACTACCCCATCCCTGCCATATGCCTTTGGGCAATGAAAATGACAACAGAGCAAGGGGATATTTAGGCCTTTTGCTCCTCAAAACTCTGATCACCTACTATATTCTTTTTCCTCTTTTCAACATTTCTGTCCTCTCCCATCATTCCTCATTATTGGGAGGATTATAGAACTAGAAGCTGAGAATACAGAGTAGGTTCATGACATTCATCCATAGAATAATGCCAGTAGGCTCCTTAAGGGGATCATGTTCCTCTTCTCCTCCACATTTCTCTACTCTAATTAGAGATTAGTAACCCTGTTTTAGAGAAGCTCTAATGCTGATAGGTTGGCTTACCTTTATTAAAATCATTCCCCTCACATGACCACTCAAGTTATGCTAGGGATGGGGTATACCTAACAATGTTGGATTGTTGGTGGGCATTGCCCTAGCCCCATTTGAGCCAACTGATATCAAGAGACTTGCTCAATGTCACCCAGAATCCAAGCACCTCCCAGAACACCTAGCTTGTGAGGAAGACTGACCCCCGCTGCTTTTCTTATCAGTAAATCTCATAGAGGCATCTCAGTACCTGCTTGAAGAGCATCTTTCTCCAGAGCCTCTGTTTTCCTTGGAGATTGGGATGCTCAAGGTGGGTGGTAGTTGGCGAGTAGCAATGACAGCTAACAGCCAGCGCAGTCCTTCAACTATGGGCTGATGGTTTCTTCTGTCAGGATTGCTGATGGCTGAACATGGCTCCTGTGACAAAAGAGAAGAGAAGGCTGCAGACCTGGAGCCTGGGATCTCTGGGACCAGCAGAACCAGTCACTCTTATTCAAAGAGTGGAGGAACACATAAGCTCTGCTATGCCTAGAGAGGCTCTGAGACTTCTAGGAGCCACTCAGCATTCACATCTGAGAAGGTAAATGACAGACACAAAAGATGAGGTCCTTTAATAAAGTGGTTGTGGTGTCTTGGATGTGTGACCTTGAGCAAGTCACATAGAGTCTCTGAGCCTTGACTTTTTTATCCATAAAATGGAGATAATCACGTGTCCACTTTACAGAGCTATTTCGAAGGCAGAATGCAGTATTTGTTACCACCATCAAGTCAGGAATCACTGTGGGTGTCGCCTGACAGGGAGAGGCTTTGCCTCAAACCCAACATATGGGGCTGATTATAGAAGGAGCCAAGGGCTGCATTAGCTGGGCTCTAGAGGAAGAGGGAAGAAAGGGGTTGACACTTACCAATCGGCATGGGCATTTATTCTCTTTCACAAGTTTGTCTAGAAACAGATAATCAATAATATCACCAGGCATGAGGGCCTTCTTCTTGTCCTGTTTGTTTGCTAGGCTAAAACGGCATATGAGAGAGGGAGGAAAAAAGAGTGAAAGACTGAAACCAAAATAGAAGCAAAAGGCGAGAAAAAAAGGGAAAGAGGAGGAGAACAAATTCTACTATAACTGCTAAATATCCAGGAATTAAGTTTAAAGACATACCTAATCAGATGAACTAGACATTTTTCTAGCCAACTCCAAATGAAGGAAAGTATAGCACAAATCATTTGAATCCAAGATAGTCCCCCCAGGGCTCATTTCTCACTTCCCCTACATTATGCTATCAAACTTTAATTATAATTGCTAACTGGGCTATGAACAGATTTGGAGTTTTTACATCGTTTCCCAAATTCTGTTCATGCTCTAATTGGGGTTGCTAATGAGGAATGAAAGAGGCATAAAGGAAGTTGGGGGCAGGGATGAAAATTGGCCACCTGCATTATCTCCCTGGAATAAGTGCTAGTTATGTAACTTTTGAGCAATCTGATCAGAGGAGGTCATTGACCTCAATTATACAAGATAGGGGTTCTCTGCCATCATGAGTTTCAGGATCAGAGCCTGAAAAAGATGATAAGCAAATTCAGGAAGGTAGTCTTCAGGAAGAGTCAACGGGTGATGGTGGTGGATACCACTTTTCATTTCCCTTTGATGCTTTCCTTTAAAATTGCTTTTGTACAGTTAGGTAATATGCCCCCCATGGCAATGTGTGGTAGAAAGTAGCTCTTGAGAACAGCCCACAGAGAACTGGGCTGCTCTACCTCACTGAGCCTAAGGGAACAGGAGGCATAGCTGGGTGTGACAAAGGGACCACCTCACCCTTCATTTCTATACTTTTGAGGGTGCAAATTGGGAAGGGAAAATAGGACAAAGGCAGAATCTTACAGTAAGATGGGTTTCCCTGCCACTCTTTTATCAGGCAGCAGATGTGTTAAGATGATCCTCACGTCCTGCATGCGTCTTATATCACTGGAATCCAGGACGAAAACAAGCCCATGTGCTTGTGCGTAGTAGTTTGGCCATGCTTCTCGGCCCTTCAGGTCTCCATTCAGGTCATAGATGGAAAGTTCATACTTATCTAACAAAAGTGTAGTCAGTTCCGATTTCATACAATGGTCTGTCTTACTGGGAAGTACTACGCACAGGGGAAAATAAGAGAAGCAATCACTTAGATGGAAACTCCATACTCCTCTAACAGGCGTAGAGTCAGTTCCGATTTCATACAGTTGTCTATCCTACTGGGAAGTACTTTGCAGCGGGGAAGAGAGGAAAAGTAATCACAAAGTAGGGAAATATAGTTAGATCAAATAATTTGTTGAACCCTGACTAGAGCCTGCTCGGAGAAATCCTACTGAAGCATCCTGCCACCCTGCCCATACTTAGGGACTATCTTCCTAAATCATTGCTTTACCCATCCTGTCTTCTCCTGGCTCAGTAACCTTTAGTGAGCATCCACGGGTCCCAGATATAATACAGACTCCTTCACCTCCTAACCTGCCAGACCTATCTTCTAGCGCTGTAACCTGACGGGTGTCCACACTGTCCCTGGTACATACCCAATTTGTTCTTCCCTTAGGTCCTTTGCCCCTACTTCTCCCATTCTACGTCAATGTCATGCTCCCTCTTTCCCTGGGCTTTTACAGGATGCCGTTCTCTCTGCTTAGAACATTTCTACTCTTTGCTTAGTTAATGCCTATTTTTTAAAATATCAATTTTGATCTTGTTTATTCTAGAGTTTTTCCACACACCACCAGCGATCTGGATAGGGTACCTTTCTTCTGGGCTTACCATTGTTATAGCACGTATTACAGTGTTGTAAATTCCATGATTTATTTGTCTGGGTTATAAACTGCAATAGGACAGGGACGCTTTCAATTTTATTGAAATTTATTCACCATTATATTTGTGATGCCAAGCACAGTCATCATTGAATTAATCTGATAAATGAACAGGTGAACAGAAGGCCCTTCTCTCCCACCCTTTCTTCAATACCCAGCTCAAGTACTGTTTAGAAACCCTTCTCTGGCCTATCTACTTCTCACTTCTCTCTTTTTCTTTGAGACTGAATCTTGATCTGTCACCCAGGCTAGAGTGCAGTGGCATGATCTTGGCTCAGTACAACCTCTACCTCCTGAGTTCAAGCAATTCTGCCTTAGCCTCCCGAGTAGCTGGGATTACAGGCACGCACAACCACACCCAGCTAATTTTTTGTATTTTTAGTAGAGATGGGGTTTCACTATGTTGACCAGGCTGGTCTCAAACTCCTGACCTCAGGTGATCTTCCTGCCTCAGCCTCCCAAAGTGCTGGGATTACAGGCATGAGCCACCATGCCCAGCACTTCTCTCTTTCTTGTTGACCACATGGTCTGTTGAGCTGGTCCTTCACCTCTTTTTGTGCTTGCCTTGTCTCTCCAATTAAAACAAAAGCTATATGAAGGAGGATGTCTGCATTACCATACACACAGTAGGTGTTCAATAAATGTTTACGGTGTTTGTTACTGCAGATAAGGGTATGAAGTCGTCTCCCACATACCTCTTCCAAGAAACCGTGCTAGAGTCAGATACATTTTCTTTTGAAAAGCTATAGCCAGAAGATAAAATCTCATAGGGAATTCCATACCTCATTCAGCTCCCATGGAAACGCAGTTGAAAACAGCAGCCTTGGCTGGGTGTGGTGACTCACGCCTGTAATCCCAGCACTTTGGGAGGCTGAGGCGTGGGGATCACCTGAGGTTAGCAGTTCAAGACCAGCCTGGCCAACATGGTGAAATTCCATTTCTAATAAAAATACAAAAATTAGCTGGGCGTGACGGTGCGTGCCTGTAATTCCAGCTACTTGGGAGGCTGAGGCAGGAGAATCACTTGAACCTGGGAGGTGGAGGTTGCAGAGAGCCAAGATTGTGCCACTGCACTGCAGTCTGGCGACAGAACTAGACTCTGTCTCAAAAACAAACAAAAAATAGCAGCCTTTATATGCGTGCCAGTCTGTTGAAGTGACTGCTCTAGCCTAGCTCTCTTCCCACATTAGGAGCAAAATGACATAATACATTCTCTATACCCATACCTGGGAACCCTAAAACTAGAATCAATAACTTCTTATTTATAGTCGTAGATCTGCATGTGACATTTTCCATAGGATTGCGAAAATGAATCATTAACGTGAAAAGTTAGTAATATGCTTTCTGGTCTTTGGAAATGAGAATACATATATATGTGTGTATATGTATATGTTATTATGTTTTAATGTGATTTTCATAACATCTTTTCTGATTTCATGTTAGGCAATGAACTTTTAAATTATGGCTTTCAGATAATTTTCAGTCACAACTTTGATATGATATTTGCTATATCTGTATTAGATTACTTAAAAATAATAAGTGGGCCAGGCGTGGTGGCTCAGGCCTATAATCCCAGCATTTTGGGAGGCTGAGGTGGGCAGATCACCTGAGATCAGGAGTTTGAGACCAGCCTGGCCAACATAATGAAACCCTGTCTCCACTAAAAATACAAAAAGTGGCCAGGCGTGATGATGAGCACCTGTAATCCCAACTACTCAGGAGGCTGAAGCAGGAGAATCGCTTGAACCCAGGAGGCGGAGGTTGCAGCGAGCCAATATCGTGCCGTTGCACTCCAGTCTGGGTGACAGAATGAGACTCTGCCTCCAAAAAAAAAAAAAAAAAAAAAGAATAGGTTAAAACTCTAAAGGTAGAGTTTCTTGCATTAAGAAAAGCACTATATATTTTTCCCTGTCAGAGAAAAAAAAAAATTTCCTTAGTTTCCTTTTTTTTTTTACTTCAAACCTTACCAGTTCCTTCAGTTAATGCATTCTATTGTTGGCAAACTCTAGGTACTGTAAGGAGTTCTTCTCTGACAATTACATTTCTCATTTCCTCTATTAATGTATAAACACACTAAGAACAGGTACTGAGTCTAATTCATCTCTGTATCCCTAGTGGAGTGTTTCATAAAGCATGTTCTGGGCACCATATAATTGAGAATTACATGGGGGTGATTGTTAAGGCCTAACCCAGACCAAATGAATCAAAACTTCTATGCTTGGGACACAAGCATTTGCATGTTTAACAAACTCCCTACAGCTAACAAAATCCTGAGGTGATTCTTCTGCACTTTAAAGCTTGAGTACCACTGCCCTGGAGAGCCTTGAAACTCATGCCTGATTGTGTCTCAGCATCATCTGGTGAGCTTGTAACGATAGGGATTCCATGAGCTAGCTAGCTGGGTGTGGTGCTACATACCTGTAGTCCCAGCTACTTGGAAGGCTAAGGTGGGAGGATTGCTAGAGCCTGGGCAATCAAGGCTGCAGTGAGCCATGATCACACCACTGTACCACTGCACTCCAGTCTGGGTGACAGAGTGAGACTCTGTCTCAAAAAAAAAAAAGGAGGGGGGTGGGGGGAACTATAGATTCCATAGCTTCTTTCCAGACCAAAGTTTTTGAACTGCCAGATCCCTTGTCAGTAGGTTTGAAAACTCCACAGGTGATTCTAGTTATTGGTTCTTAGTATTTACTGTTCTTCACTGTTCTCCATGATCACCTGTAGAGCTTTTTTTTTTTTTAGACTGGAGTACAGTTGCACCATCTTGGCTCACTGCACCCTTTGCCTCCCAGGTTCAAGTGATTCTCCTGCCTCAGCCTCCTGCATAGCTGGGATTACAGGCACCCACCACCACACTCAGCCAATTTTTGTATTTTTAGTAGAGATGTGATTTTACTATGTTGGCCAGGCTGGTCTCGAACTCCTGACTTCAGGTGATCCGCCTGGCCTCGGCCTCCCAAAGTGCTGGGATTACAGACATAAGCCACTGCGCCCAGCCACCTGTAGAGCTTTTAAACCCTATAACACCGGGCCTCATTCTCTCAGTGTTTGATTCCATAGATCTGGGGTGGGGCTGAAGCATCATGTTTTTTTTTAAAAAGCTCCCCAGGTGATTGAAATACATAGCCAGGTTTGAAAGGCACTGGTCTAAATGTCTCATTTAGGACACCCGCTTGTACCAGTGCTTGGGTTTTTTCTTGCCTTAGATGACCATGCCAGACAAAACAGTTATAGTGAATGGTTTGGAGGAGGTGGTGTAAGATAGCCAAATAGAATCCTTCAGTAATGGTCACCTCTGCAGGAACACCAAATTGAACAACTATCCATATGAAAGCACCTTCATAAGAACCAAAAATCAGGAGAGCGATCGCAGTATCTGGTTATATTTTTCTTTTTTTGAGACAGGGTCTCACTCTGTTGTGTATGCTGGAGTGCGGTGACTCAGTCTCAGCTCACTGCAGCCTTGACTTCCTGGACTCAAGTGATCCTTCCACCTTAGCCTCCTGAGTAACTGGGATTACAGGCATATGCTACCATACCTGTCTGATTTTTTTTTTTTTTTTTGTAGAGACAGTTTTGGCATGTTGCCCAGGCTGGTCTTGAACTCTTGGGCTCAAGCAATCTGCCTGTCTTAGCCTCACAATGTCCTGGGATTACAAGCATGAGCCCCCACACCCCGCCTTGGTAATAACATCATGTCAAGGAAAGAGGAACTGAAGAGGGTAGGAAAGACAGTCTTGAATCACCAGCACCACCCATTCCCCTCCCCTGGCAGCACCACATGGCACAGAGAGAGAATTTGTATTTGGAAGAGAGAGTACAGTGATTGCAGGACTTTGGATTGGAACTCAGTGCTGCCCTGTCACAGCAGAAAGCTACACAGGGAAGAATTTGCCTAGCACTCATGGAGGAAGCATTTAGACCAGCCCTAGCCAGAGAGAAATTGTCCATCCCAACAGTTGGAACCTGAGTTCCAGCAAGCCCTGTCACCACGGCCTGCTCTGGGGTGCTAAATAAACTTGAAAGACAGTCCAGGCCACAAGGACTGCAGTTCCTGGGCAAGTTCTGGTGCTTTGATTGGCTTGGAGCCAAGGACTTAGGGGGCATGCAACCTAGTGAGTCACCAGCCGGGGTGACCAAGGGAGTGCTTGTGTCACCCTTCCCCACAGTGCCAGGCAGCACAGCTTGTAGCTCCGGGAGGAGAGGGAAGAATAAAGAGAACATTGTAGTACAACTTGAATATCAGCTCAGCCACAAAAAAATAAAGTACCAAGCAGAGTCCTGAAGCCCCCATTTC